CTAAAGTTGAGCGCATGATGAACCGCAAGATTCTGAAGACGACTGCCCGAGTTCCTATGCTTCAGCCGGAGGATCAGACTGATCAGCGTTGAGTCCCCTGGTGGCCTCAGCCCCAGCAGCAGAAGAGGCGGGCTTTGCACTTTGCCGAGCCTCCCTTTCCCTCTGCTCAGCTTCCAACTCCAGTCTTTCAGCTTCCTCTTCGGCTTCCTCAGCCTTAAGAATTTCAGCTTCAGCTGGAGTTGCATACTTCATGTGAGGGTCTTCGGGATTCTGGGCCCACTCAGCACATTTAGACCAGTCCAGCTTCGGCTCAGCATGAAGGCAGAGTCTTCGGCATACTCGGAATCCGTTTCTGAAACCCATCTCATATTCCTCTTGGGTGTAAACACGGACTTTGAGTAAAGCCTCAGCATCAGCCAGCTTCTTCTGGGTCTCCTCCAAGTCCTCCTTGGATTTCTTCAGCTGTTCAGCGACTTTGGAGGAGGACCCCTTCAGCTCATTCAGCTCTTGCTGAATTTGGAAAGCCTTTGTCTGAGCTTGGGCCACTTCAACTTTCTGGATCAGCAGTTGATCCTCAGCCTCTTGGAATTTAGCTCTTTGAGCTTCAGCAGCAGCAGCAGCCTCTGAGAGTTGGACGTCTTTGGCCAAGAGCAACTCTTCAGCAGCCATTCGGCTGGCTTCAAGAGCCTCTAGACGCTGCTGCACTTCAGCTTGTGCAGCAGTTCCTTCTTGAATTCGGCTCTCAATAGCAGCCTTGAATTTGGAGACGTCCACTCCCATATGCTCCTGGAGGAATTTTTCCCCTTCCATCAGTGGGGGAAAAACCTCCATCTCCATAGCATCGCAGAAGGTTTTCAGAGCTTCGGCAGCTTTTTTACCGTACTCCTCAACCTCCTGCTGCTTCTCTTCAGCTGCTGCTTGCTTCAGCTTAACAAGCTTAACTTCCTCTTCAGCCACCTTCCTTTCGTGCACAGCAGCGTCTACCCTATCTTGTAGGGTATCAATCAGCTCTACAGTGAGAGTCTGATTGTGCACGAACTGAAAACAGGAAGACAAAAAAAAATAAGTAATAAGAAAAAAATAGAGCTGAATTTCGGAGGAAATGAAGGAAAATTACCTGCATCATCAGCAGTTGGTTAGACCTGGCTGGGTCAGGAACTGATCTACTGGATTCGCCCATCCCAGCAGTGGCCTTCAGCGACCAGATCCTTGCCCTGTCTACTTCGGACATGCCAGCAAAATTGCCGAAGTAGGCTGCAGCTCCTTCTCGGTTTTGACCCCATATGAGGTCCCAGATGTGATCTGGGATTGGAATTCGGGGGGCCGAGAAACCCATTTCTCCAGAATGCAGAGTCTGGAAAGAAGGGAAGGACGACGATGGAGCTTGATTAGCTTTGGTTGTCTCAGCATCGTCCTTCTCAGAGGAGTCAAGTACTATGACCTCCTCTTCTTCAGGGGTGAGGACGAAAGCCTCAACCTCTCTTGCGATATCTGCCGTGAAGCCTTCAGCACTTGACATCACGGCATCTTTATTTCCGTGCTCAGCAGCACTCTCCTTGATTTCTTCTTGGACCCCTCCCTTAGGTTCGGGAGTCCTCTGATCCACCTCCATCTCAGGAGGTGGCGGAGGGGTCTTTTGAGGAGATTGGGGTGTTGGCTGGGGAACCCTCGGCGATCCATTGCCTTCCTCAGGTTCCCTTATTGCGACGCCGATGGTCATCGGCCTCTGCTGAAAGTCATGAGGGCCGATGATGGCCATCCTTCGGCGCCTTTTCAGAAGGGGCTGCTCGTCCATATCTGAGTCTGAAGACTCTTGTATTTGATCTTCGGGACGAACAGGAGCTTTGCCTTCTCTGTGTCTGTTACTCTCTTCAGACTGTAACAGACAGGGGGGAAGATGAGTGTGAGTAAAAAAAAAAAAAAAAAAAAAAAAGAAGAAAGACAAAGTTAAGTCTAAAGGCTCACCGAGGTCTTCAGCAAAGCCTCGTCTTCTTCAGCTGCCCTAGCCGCAGCTTCTTCAGCAACTCTGGAGGACCCTTCTCCACCTTCACAAGCTTCAATAACCCGTGCAACCTCTTCGGCTGTACGGGCAGCTTCAGCTTCTTCTTCCAGCAGCTGAAACAAGGGATCCCTCTTCTTCCACCAAGGCTTCTGCCTCTGATACAGAGCAACAGCCTCAATTTGGAAGTGGGAAGAGTCTAGGTGAACCTCTCGGCGCCTTGGTTCAGTGATAGGGGGAGCCCGATCAGTTACGACTCGTTCTCGGTTGACGCCAAGGCGAGCGTAATCAATGCCGACGTTGGTCTCGTCCCGTTCTGAAAAAGAAAAGGGGAGAAGTCAATTCAGTTAGTTCGGCACATCACAAGAAAGCAAAATGAAAGAAGAAAAGAGATAATTAAAAGGCCTCGGCCCCAGCCGAAGAAGATTACCATCCCTAAACTTTCGGCTGAGGCCGACAGCTGCCAGCATATTCTCTTGGAAAACATAGTGCGTATCGGGGAGCCAAGTCTCCGGGATATGCTGCATTCGGCCGCTGCCTCCCCGGTTCGGCAGCTTGCCGAAGATGTTCTGCTGATTAAGGTTCGGGTCTGGCCCGCTATCTTCGGGAGGACCTAAACTTCCCATATCAGGATCCGGCTCGGCAAGATACCGGGGAGCGCTGAAAACGTAAGGGTGGCTCGGCTCCGTGGGTGCCCTAACCCAAATCCATTGACCTCTCCAGTCCTTGTCTGAAGAGTCGTTCGGCCACATGGTTAGGAACGGGGGCCGAGACTCAATCCGATACCACCCAGAGCCATGGCATCCGTGCCCACTTTGAATGTTTGGCACTAGCCGATGGAGCCTTCTGAAGCAATGCAGGTTCGGCACGTACCTGAAGAATTTGCAGACCCATAAGTACGTCATTACCCTTCGGATGCTGGTGGGGGTCAGCTGGCACAGGGAAATGTTGTAATGGATCAGCAAGTCTCGGACGAAAACGTCCAAAGGGAACCTCAGCCCATACTGAAGCTGTCTCGTGTACACCCCCACATACCCCGGGGGTGGACGATGGATTCTATCGGATGCTGAGGGCATTCGGCACCAATATCCATCAGCTTCAAAAATGCCGTAGTGCAACTCAATTTGCTCGGCAAATCGATATTGATCGGCGTTCTCTACCCACCATGAGTAGGGGCGGTTCTTTATCATGGCCGAAGCGACTTCGGCATTCTCCCACTCTGAAAACCCAGGGAGGATATCCCAAAGGACAGCGGGAATTTCATCGTCCCGTCCAGAAGCACTCGGCTCATCCGTTCTCTGAGGAGGAGCCGAAGAAATGGGAGTCGCCCTAACCCCTTCAGCAGGGTCAGACTCTGTCCTTCGTCCATTCCAGGTCCCAATCCTGTCCCTGGGATCGGGGATTAGCCTTGCTCTTCTTGGAGCACGGGCTCCACCTCTAACTCCCCTCACCATTGACGAATTTCGAAGGAAAAAGTCGAAAAAGGGGAAAGAGTGCAAAGTCGAAGAAAGATGAAATAAAATCAAAGGAATTTACCTTGATCTGAAGCAAAAGCCGCCGATTTACGAATTGGTAGTGACAAGTCTCAGCTTCTAAGCTTAATGCTCGGGGAATTTGCGAAGTTTTGATGCGGGCTCTTGAGCGTTCTTGAGAATTCTGGGTTTGTGTTGATGAGTGAGTGGGGAGAGAAGACGCGCCTCTATTTATATCTCCAGAAATGGGAATTCAAGGAGTCTGCGTTTCAATTTCTCTCAAGCACCCCACTAAGTAACCGTTAAACACACGACCTTGCAGTTAAATCGCCCACTACCCATCCAACTTCCGCAATTATCCACATTAACTGTTGTTATCTCATTAATCATGGGTTAATTACGGTTTAAATTCACATTTTTGGATTAACAAATCATTCACTTCCCTCCTTTTCTGATTAAATCAAACCCGACCCGTCATCCTTCCAAATCGGGTCTGGGGGGCAAGTTGTTTGGGTCCAATTTAGTCCAATTGGGCCTGGTCACTGAATGATCCAATTAAAAGCCCAAGGTTAAGGTTCAACTCTCCAAATGTGCTAAAGTCAAAAATCAACATCCTCAAAGCCATGTCAAGGTCAGTCAACGGCCCAATCAGCTTGGCCCAGCCCAACTGACTTCCGGGCCCAATCCGCCTCCTTCATTAGCCAAGGTATAAAAGCCAACAATTTGGTCAATTCTTGGTAAGACAATAAAGCCTCAAGCAACTAAACTCTTGCACAGCTTTCTCTCTCTAATATACTGACTTAAGCATCGGAGGGGCCTTCCTCGGCGTCCCCCCCGAGGCTAGTTTACGTGTATTTGTTGTGCAGGAAACCCTCGGCTCCTGCGTCGTTCGGACCGAGACCAAGTTCCCTCAAGATAAAAGGATCTTCCGAGATTCGATTGTTTTCATCCGAAACACTGAGTATTGATCTTATTGTGATGACACCACAAACAATTTGATCCTAGCACATTTCTACTGTACATGGAGAGCATTTTCAGGTTGGTTTTACAGCAACGTTACATCATACGTATCAAAGTGATAAAATTAATATGCCGGTTAAGATCAAGATCAACTTGAATATATCCTCCATTCAACACCAAAGCCGTCCAAATCACATTAAAATTACAATGGGATTAATGAAAACTTCAATTAATTCACACAACTTAAATTCATTTTACACACAAGTGTATCTAATAGTATGTACACTACTCAAAGTAATTTTTTTATTCATTTGATATATATTGAGTTACAAATTTATATTTACAAATAATATAATTTACTAGTATAAACTATATTGAGTATTGATCTTGTTGCGATGACACCTCAAACAATGTAACCATATCACATTTCTACTGTACATGAAAGAGCAGATTTTTTGCATATATTAAAAGTCAATTTTACAATAACGTTACATCATTTGTATTAATGTGAGAAAATTTGTAAGCCGGTTCAAATCGAGATGTACTTGAATACTTGATATTTCCTCCATTCAACCAAAGTCATCAAAATCACATTAATTCTACGATAGAATCAAATACCAAATGTACCCTTTGCAAAATCAAATACTAAAACCCTATTGGAACAATAGCCTCTAAAAATCAATCCCCACTTGACTTAGCTTAACCAACAACCGTACCCCCCTCAATACTAAAATCAACATCAACCTCACAATCCCTCCAAAAATCCCATGCAAAGCAACCCCATCTGCTTAACACCCCTGTTTTTTTTCTTTTTCTTTTTCTTTTTCTTTTTTTATATTTATATCTATTAATTTTAATTATTTTCAAATTTCCTTTAATTTTGGGCCCTTTTAGTTTTGTAAAACTTGAACTAAACCACACAAATTAGAATCCCACAAATCTAAAAGAAGACACGTAAAAATGTCACTTGCCATACAAAAAAGAAACAACAATTTGGAATGACGTGTAAACTAACACCCCCACTTATATTTACTCCTTTCTCTCCTCTCAATTCCTTTTATTCTCCCTCACACTTTCATTCTTCTCCTCTATTCCATACCAAAAAAAAAAAATCTGATCATAAAAACAGAGGAATTGTTACTTTAAAAACAGAGCAACCCAATTTATGATATCAATGGAAGAATTAAAACCCACAATGCAAATTCAAGAATCTCATCAAATACCCACCTCCTTATTGGTTCAAGAAAAACCCGGGCTCGCCTCGCCCGAGCACGATGATCACCAACCACAACCACAACAACAACAACAACAACAAAAGCGGCCGAATGAAGGCAATAGTGATGAAGAAGAGGGGAAATCGACGAATACCCGCGAATGCGAAAGTGGCGGGAAACATGAGGAAGAAAATAAGGAGAAAATAAGTGGTGATTATAGTAATAATGGGGGAGTTTTAGGGCCAAGAGAAAGATTGAAGAGGCATAGAAGAGAAGTAGCAGGGCAAGTATGGATACCAGATATATGGGGTCAAGAAGATTTCATGAAAGATTGGATTGATTGTTCAGCATTTGATGCATCATTGGTTCCTCAAGGTATTATGTTAGCTCGAGCTTCTTTAATGGAGGAAGGAAGAAGATCTAATTCTAATACTCTCAGAGTAGAAAATAGCTGTTAGAAGACTTTTATTTTATTGCCTTTTTCTTATTTAATTTTATTTTTCCCTTTTTATTTTGGGGTTTATTTGAGATGATCATATTAAAATTGTTTACAATGAGGCCAAAGAAGAAAGAAAAAATATAAAATTAAAAAAATATTGTTAGTATTTATGTGTATTAGATGTTGATAGTTAGAAGAACAAGAAGCAAAGGCCTAGTTTACAATAACAATTACTTTTTTTTTTAGTGGTTCAATAATAATTAATCGCTTTGTGGAGGCAATTACTTATCTTGCCTTGTTAATTATTATTATTGTTATTTATATTGTTGTTTATGTAAACAAATCAGCTATATTATTAAAAAATATACTAAGATCTAGATTTATATATAATAAGGTTCGGATGTGATGTATGTTTAATTTTGTTAACTTGGTCAACCAACTTGATCGTCACCTCTCTTTCTCAATATCTCTTTTCTTCTTTTCTTGTCTTTTTTATTTCTATTACATTATGGACCATGACTCTTAAGGTATAATGTGGGCGGATCCAACTTCATCATCTTAGATAGTCATCTTTGTGTAGTACATAATTGACTTTGTACTAAATTCCAGCTAGTTCAATTTTCTCTAGAGAGATAATAGATACTTTTCATGGAAAAGTTTGATTGGTCGAGTAAAGTTCTGGTGAAAGGATTGAATGCTATAATTTTGTTTATTATATTATTTTAATTTAACACTAATCACATATTTCGGTTATGAATTCCAACATATTAATTCTTAGGAAAATTTGTCAAAAAAAACCTTTTAAATGCCTCATTTTGCAAGAAAAAACCTTTTAAACGATTCTTTGTTTAAAAAAACCACCACGATCACTTTTTTTGTTTAATGAAACCTGGGCTCTCTTTTCCGGTATTGACTCCCAATTTCAGGCGTTGACTCATGAGTTTTCCTACTTGCAGCCTACAGTTGGATAATTGCACTCCCCTTTTTATTTTCCCTCTCCTCCTTGCCAGCCACCCCCATCCCAGCCACCCCCTCCTCCCTTTAGCCACCCTAAAACCCACCATGAAACCCTAGGCCATGGCAGCTCTTCCCTTTTTCTTCGCCCAACACCACCGCCGCCGCCGCCCTGATCTCCAGTTCCCTTCGACCACCCGCAGACCCATGCTGTTGTTCACGACCACCCACGAAACTCCCTTATCTCTCCCTCTCGTGCCACTTTCTCTCTCCTTCGCGCTGACCAACTACCACCAGCGCCACCCACCTGAACCGCCACCGTTCCCTGCCGCTACCGTTCCCCTTCCTCCTTCCTCCTCCAACCCCCAAACCCCAAACCCTGATTTGAACTCTTGTTCTAAATTATGATTCCAAACCTCCCTAATTTGAACCGTTTCTTCGCTAATCTCCATAATCGACGACATGGGTATTCAATCAAAGCGCATAATAGCAACAGATTTGCAAAATCAAGGAGCAGAAAATCAACAAAAGTAAAAAAAATCAAAGAAAAACCCAGGAAAGTGGTAAAATGAAGCAAGAGATCTAACCTAGGGGAGTTTCGCAAGCAGGTCTAGGCGGAAAAAGAAGATTAGGAGGGAGTTTGGGGTGGTTTCGCGAGCGAGGTGGTTGTTTTCGGTGGAGTGGAAGGGGAAAGGGCTTTCCGGCGAGGTGGTAGCGGAATCCAGCTGGGCTAGGGGGATGGGGGGTGGCTGGCAGGGAAAATAAGAGGGAAAAATAAAAGGGGGAGTGCAATTATCCATCTGTAGGCTGCAAGTAGGAAAACTCATGGGTCAACGCCTGAAATTGGGAGTCAATGCCGAAAAAGAGAGCACAGGTTTCATTAAACAAAAAAAGTGATCGTGGTGGTTTTTTTAAACAAAGAATCGTTTAAAAGGTTTTTTCTTACAAAATGAGGCATTTAAAAGGTTTTTTTTCTTACAACTTTTCCTATTTCTTAATATGTTTTTTAAAAAAGTCATTGGATTCTTTAGCTCAGAGCGAAAAGAAAATGTAAGATATTCGTAGATAGTTTTCAAAGGAATTGCTTTCTGGAAACAGAGTTATTATGCGAACCACTTATGAAAAATAGAACTAGAACCACTTATGAAAAATAGATACAGATATTTAGCGTTTGACCAATTTTCTACTAGAAAACTTTACTTTTTAGCCATATTTTCAATCATAGTTTTAGGCCTTTTAGCCTACTGTTTTTGTAGAGTTTTATAATAAAATTATATTTCAAAGGCTTTTATATTTATTTTTACTAGGGCAGCTAAAGCGCGCGATGCGCGCTATAGTTAGCCATGTTCGAGAAACTCTTTTGGTTTGTCCTTATGTCACAAATTTAGTTGTTGACAAACATTAATGATGGAAAATATGTAAACAAATGTTTTTAGGGGTATAAATGTCCGTACACTACTCTTAAGAGTTTATAAAAAGAGGCAATTATCATTAATGAGGGCAAATAAGTAAATTAACATTTTAAAGGACATAATTGTCCAAACACTATTCATAAGAGTTATCTCATACTTTTTATAAGGTGGGGATTGAGTTGTTGATATTATTTTATTATTATTATTATAAAAAATTTCAATAACCTACAAAGTCAAACAAATTAGTGGGGAGTCGAGATACAATCTGGGCCCCCACCCCTCTAGCTATAGCGAATCCGATCCTGCTGAAGATGTGAGCAGCTGCACGAGCACCAATATCGTGTGTCCTAGGGAACGCCTGCACCCGCTTCAGCAACGTAACAACATCCTTCTCTAATTCCCGCAATGAAGAAAAAAAAAAGAAAAGAAGAAAACCATAGCCAATAGCCCTGCAACGCACCCCATACTTGTTCCGCTTCCGCAGAGCAGCAACCGACACAACACGACCAGGAACGAAGTCAGATAATTCAGATTATGTTAAAGGAGAAGACCTCTTCAAGTCAACACACAGATACCATTATATTAAACCTTCATAATAGTAGTTTTACATGCAGACCATAAGTTGAAGCAGATTAGATTTATCCGCTATTCACTTTAGAATTTTTTGTGGCTCATTTTACTCTCACTCTCTAGTCTCTCCTAGTTTCTCCTTCTACACTCTCCCAATGCTCTTTATCTCCCACAGAAGAAGAAAAAAAACATATACTCCTATTATTTTTGTTTTACTCACTTTTCATATTAGACTATTCTTCACTATTTTACTCACTCTGCTTTTTTCTAATTTGGTATTCGTAGAAAGGAGAGATGGTTGGCATCTCCCCTGCCAGGGACGGAAATGACCTTCAGACTTTCCTGTTAATATACATATTGCGTTCGTTGTGCTTTATTCTATTTTAGTTTACCATCTTATCACTTGAACTTTACACTACTTACATCTTTGTACATACTCTCTCTTACTTAATTCACTTTTTTTCTTACATAAACCAACTTTTTTATAATTGTCTTTCATATACTTCCTCCACAAACTATTACGTGCAACAAATGGGGTATGCACGGAACCCAAGACAATTTCTTAAGCAAGATTATTGAAAAGTAAGGTTATGTAATTAAGTAGTAAGAAGAGAGAGCGGATAATTAATCCAACAAAAAAAATCTACCGCAATTTAAACAACCTAGAACAACCAACCATTAAACTAGAACCACCACCCATGAAATCAGATCTAGACCTACGCCACCTACGAACCACCACTGAATCACGAACCTATCTAGAACCACAAACCATGCCACCCATGAATCACCACCAAGACTAGGGATGTCATCAGTGGGGCGGGTCAAGTAGGAGACCTGCCCCATCTCCGCCCCAGTGGGGCAGGGATGGGTCTCGGTTTGGCAGGTGGTGGGGCGGGATGAGGATAAAAACCATACCCGCCATGGGTGATGGGGCGGGGGTGGATTTTAGGTTATACCCGCCCTATCCCCGCCTCGCCCCGCCCGCCCTATTCGTACTTGCCCCATCCCCACCTCATACCCACATCTATATATCTTTAAAAACAAATTTATATACTTTTATACAATTTTATAAATGAAAAATTGCATTAAATAATACGACCTTTGCTGCCGCTAAACACAAGTTGACCTTTTGTTTATTTCAGAATAATACGATCTTTAGGGGTACTCCACTTTAAACAGGTAAAAAAAAATTTGTAACCGGTTACTGCAGGTTAACTGGTGACGTGTCTTCCTCTTTCCCTTATCTTCATCTATTTATACCTCTGTATCTGTTGTTCGCATTTTTCTCCATGAAAACGTGATCTTCCTAGGTAAAATCAAAATTGCAATTAAATGGTTGGGAATAGGCAATCATCTAGTGGTTCTTCTTCAAGCTTTGCGAACGAGAAAAACCAAAAATTCCGCTGCAGTTGTGGCAATTATGCGGTGGTGAGATCTGTAAAGAAGGGTCCAAACAGTGGGATGAAGTTCTACGGCTGTCCCTTATGGCCGGTTTGTTATCAATTACAAATTCCTTTCAATTTTTTCGATGTTGATTTAATTGAGATTCATAGGTTCTTAATTGAAAATTGTATTACTGTAGGACACCAAATGTGAAATGTTTAGGTGGGTTAATCAGAACAACCCCATGGAAGATCTTCAATATCATGTTTTGGAGAAGGAAACAAGAATTTGCGAGTTAGAGTATGAGCAACAATGCAGAGATGATAAAATCAAGAGGTTACAGTTGAAGAAGGATAACTTAGAAGAGGATGTTCAAGAAATGAAGAACGAAGTGTATGCGATGCGTGTAGAGATGATGAATTGTTCCAGGAACGAGAAGAATTTATCCATGGCTTTGGTTTTTTCTTGGATTTTCTTTGCTATAGTGTTGTTTTATCTGAAATTTTAAGTGGAGTTGTAATTTAACAATTAAGATTTAGGAACTTGATTTTGTCATCTGTTGCACTGTATTTGTAGTTGTTATGTTTTGCAGTTGCAATAATAATACAGAGCTTAACAGAGCTGATTTCATAACAAAGTTGATAATAATACAGTACTAATTCCTTAGTGCTAATCATACTGTCTGAAAATTACATAACATAAGCATATGGGTTAGCATAAACCAAAATTGTTCAAAATACTTAGCTTACACATGCTACATTGTTCAAAAGACAAAGCAATATTCACTACATTGTTGTTCAAAATACTTAGTGCTAATCATAGTGTCACAAAATAACAGAATCTGAACCCAAGGTGTCATGGATGTTGTTGATGCACTGTAGAGGTTTGGCTTGACTGTGTGGATATGTGTGCCTCCTGATTCCTTGCTCTATTCC